ACTCAACAATCATGGTATATGTTAAAGTCTAGCTGTCTGTTGAAAATCTACAGTATTAAAATCATACATCAAAGATAAGTCAAACGACAGTACACTATATTATGTCTTTCAATGGGCACTTTATATTAATAGTAGTGTTTACAACATTTATAAATTTTATAAACAGCTTTCGTTTTGACACAACTCACACAAGTTTAAATTTTTTGCTTTATATATATTCTTAATAATACTGTACAAGTGAGATTTAAATGTTTTGCTTTGTGAAATAGAATGTTATTTTTTAATGGCAGCTTGTATCGTCTTTATCTGAGGGAGCATTCATTTTTTAGCGAGTGGGCCGGAGAAACTGATGTCTAATTCCATGCAAAAACTTGGAAACCCCAAGACAAAATTGATAAAAATTATGACCCCCTATTTTTTTTACTGAAAATTTTTACGACCCTACATCCTAACTATTATTAATCCACGGTGTGTGACATAGCGTTTCAGGGCCGTGGGAAGCTCTTTTTTGATTGGGCTGAAAGCGAGGGCCAAAGGCCCGAGGAAATTTTTAAATCTAGAGTCGCTGAAATGCTATTTCCTGGTCTTTCGGGGAAGATTTGACAGAATTCTGATGGTCAGAAAACAGCGTTTTAGTATGTCAAAATGATCTTGTCTAAAAGTACACACGAGTGACCACGAGTGACCACGAGTGACCACGAGTGACCACGAGTGACCACGAATGACCACGAGTGACCACGAGTGACCACGAATGACCACGAGTGATTTCTGTGTTTAAAAGTCATAAAATAATAATAAAAAACTATTTTAAGGTGGCTCCATAGGGTTTTTGCATTATACTACACTTTTGTATCCAGAAAACTCCTGTTTCTTCACTTTACATGACACGAAGACGAAATTTATTGGACACATTGACAATGCTCTCCTGAATATTGCAATGCGCTACTTTTGCGCAGAAAGTCTGTTACCATGGCAACAGCGTGCTTAGGATAAGGCTCAAAATTGGTCTTTTTTCGGCCATTTTAAAAATCCTTTCGGGAAATTTATTTTAGTTTTTCGACTATTGTACACGTCAGCCTACAGGAACATAGCAAAGCATCTGAAGTTGGGGGGGGGGGGTGTCAGAGGCTAGGATTTTACCTGAAATTTGAATTTTCAATTAATAAATATTTACCTAAAGTGTAATAATTATAATAAAGCTTCTTGTGATAATGACTTGCACTGTCATACTAAGTTTCGGGAGAAAACGGGGGGTTGGGGGTCCTACCCCCCAAGAAATTGTTCCATTTTTGAAGCTCTAGGACTGCAATTCTGGCGTTTTCTAAAGCAAATTCGCAAACAAATTGGATGTAAATTGACTGTATATTTTACAAAAATGGTTATCATTTCACACAAATAATTACATTATTACGCAAATTTTACCTGAAAATATCAAAATTTGTGGGGGGTGGAGGGTTCACGTCACATCTCAGGCAAAAAATGCCAAAATTAAACCTAAATTTCACCCTTTCCTTCGGTAAATTGTTTTAAAACTTTGCACATTAATATCGGCTAAACAAGCTCAATATCCTTTTTTCTAGTAAAATTTTATTGAAGGGAATAATCGGCTAAGAAACGTTCCATAATTTTTTTTAAAATTGAAGAAAAAAATCATTATACGAGAACTGATCTTTTGTGCAAATTTTAAAATTTTTAAAACGGCCGGAAAAAGACAACATTTGAGCTTAATTATCCAAAGCACGCTGTCACCATGGGAACGGACTTTCAGCGCAAAAGTAGTTAATTGCAATGTTCTGGAGAGCATTGTTAATGTGTCCAATAAATTTCGTCTTCGTGTCATCATGTCATGTAAAGTGAAGAAACAGGAGTTTTCTGGATACAAAAGTGTAGTATAATGCAAAAACCCTATGGAGCCACCTTAAAATAGTTTTTTTATTATTATTTTATGACTTTTAAACACAGTAATCACTCGTGGTCATTCGTGGTCACTCGTGGTCACTCGTGGTCACTCGTGGTCATTCGTGGTCACTCGTGGTCACTCGTGGTCATCCGTGGTCACTCGTGGTCACTCGTGGTCACTCGTGGTCACTCGTGGTCACTCGTGTGTACTTTTAGACAAGATCTGTCAAAATTGACAATTTGGTAGTACTAAATGGGCGAAGGTGTATTTAATTTACTATTTATTGGATAACTAGGATAAGTTGCAGAAAACTGTGGGTACTATCTTCATTCTTTGCAGTGTGTCATGGATAATGTAGCCGCTTAAAATTAACAAAGCTTAAAATTGATCAAGGTCTGCATGATTTTGAAGTCATGCAGACCTTGAAATCATGCATGATTTTGAAATCATGCTACGGTCCTGCGTTTTCTTTCATTGATGTTTTCACACAAAAACGGATAAAAACGAGGTCAATTGACAAACGTCATGGAAATGTTTTCCTATGGACTGTGTGAACAGAGCGTCAAATGAATTTTGCTTCATTGTTATAGATGACGAGATAGTTGATAGATTCTAGACGTTTTTACCATCCTTGATCCAACTATTTCCAAATTCAATAAAATCATATTGGTGATTTTTTCACTGATTATTTTTATGACCCCCTCCATTTATAACAAAACTATAAAAAGACCCACCCCTTTGAAGCGTGTCAAAATTGGCTGACCCACCCCCAAATTCCTCCGGCCCACCCCCCAGCTAAAAAATAAATGCTCCCTCATATCCAGGATTGCTTGTAAATGCATATATCACTATGACACTATCAAATAAATATACAAATATATTTGAGAGTTCTCTGAATGTTTGCATGGCGATAAAATATAATTGTTTTTGTTTGTGGAAACACCACGTAAATTTATTACTGCAAAGCTTTCGATCCGTAAGCCCGGATCTTCAACAGTGCTAATAAAATCACAGAATAGATACTGGACCAGAAGTGTCACTCCTATTTGTTTTGACTGAAGGAAAACGTCCGAAATTTTTTTGCGTGCTATGACGCCATCCTGGAGTGCACCCGGCACGTTGTACCTATGTTTTCCTATGAAAAACTTCCGTGTGCACTCCAGGATGGCGTCTTATGATGGCGTATTTTCACGTCAGCACTCGTAAAATTTCGGACAAAATATTGTCTGAGTGACACTTCTGGTCCTGTATCTATTCTGTGATAAAATGTGACTTGCCTAATTCACACGCTCTTTTTTATATACAAGAGTGTCGTGATCTGTTGGCTCGCGTCATTTGAAATTTAATTAAACAGCACATCAACCACGTCATTTCGAAACGTAGTGAAGTGATTCCAATTAACGCGCGCGCATCCAAGACAAGAAAAATTAATTTTGCACATTAAAGAGAGCACGCCACGTACTATCTAGTGGCTTTCCCTCCTGATCTATAGTATTGTGCTTCTCGATTTCAATTGACTCTCTCATTTTGCGAGAGAACTTATGACTATCAATCGCCAAAATGGTTGCTTCGTCCCATTTTATACGATGATCGTAAGTCCAAGTATGTTTAGCCACAGCAGATTTATCTTGCTCGGCTTTCTCGCAATTCGTCTTGTGTTCCTTTTAAGGAACTTAAAAGACGTACTGAGAGATCTCTTATCTTAAAAGACGTACTGAGAGATTTCGACCAGTTTCACCAATGTAAACCAGACCACATTCACAAGGAATGCGGTACACACCAGACTTCTGAGATTCACTTACGTTGTCCTTATGTGTGCAAAGAGCTCGAAACAATTTCTTTTCGCTGGAATGGTATACCTAATTTATACCTGCTTCATTCCTCAAAATTCTTTCGATTTTGTGTGAAGCCGGACCAATGTATGGTAGACTAACAGACGACTGATATTCAATCTCCTGCTGTATATTTTGTGGCGTTTTCATAGCATTATCTATGAAATGCCGTGGGTAACCATTCATTTTTAGAACATTTCTTAAATGTTCTAATTCATCGTCAATGTTACTTACCTCACAAATTGTTTTCGCTCGGTTGATGAGTGTCTTGCACACAGAGTTTTTAATACTAGGATGATGAAATGAATTATAATGCAGATACCTGTCTGTATGTGTTGGTTTCCTATAAACCTTATGTCCTAGCGACCCATCATCATGTATAGTGAAAAGAACATCTAAGAACGGTATAGTTTTATCATCCTTCTGTACTTCAAAAGTAAACTTGATCGATGGATGCAAACTATTAATGTGGTCTAGAAACTTTTGTAAATTATCTAGTCCATGAGACCAGCTACTCAATGTATCATCGACGTATCTGAACCAGAAACCTGGTTTCAACTTTGCAGTAGCTAAGGCCTTCTTTTCAAATTCCTCCATGAACAAATTAGCCATAACAGGCCACAATGGACTTCCCATTGGAGCGCCGTTTGTTTGTTCATAGAATTTCTCCCGCCATTGAAAACATGTCGTGGTCAAACATAGTTTCAACAAATCATGAACATTCTCAGGAGAAAGATTAGTTCTTTGAGATAATGTAATATCTGAAAGAAGTCTTTCTTTCGCGATATTACAAGCCTCTTCAACTGGAACATTAGTGAACAAGCTAACTACGTCAAAACTTACCAGAATGTCATTCTTACCCAATCTAATTTGTTCCATTTTTGTTACAAATTCTTTAGAATTTACTACATGATGATCTGTTTTTCCAACAACTGGTTTCAATATCTCAGCGAGATATTTAGCCAGGGCATAGAACCACTGACATCATGCTTTCCCTCGGAACGTCTATGCTCTCGTTAAACCTTGTAGCATCCTTTGCCCACACGGTTGTTTTCAACAGTGTTGTATGTTCGTAGGACAGGGACCTGCCGGTCTCGTATCCTTCGTTTACCCGTTTGGCCAGTTCTTCGTTCTCTATGGTTTCGTATTCCAGGTGTATGTTCTTCAGTGTATATCCTTCCACCTTCTCGTTTGCCTGTGCAACCATAATCTTGTCGGCTTTTGGAAGGGTTATTGTGTACTCGAATCCGCTCTTCATGTTGTACGGTGCGTAGGGACCGTGATCATTAAGAATTTTTCCGAGTTTCATCTTCTGCTCCTTGTATACCTTCGCCATCACCAGGTCGTAGGCACCTTCCGTTTTTGCGGTCCGATCGGCGCTGTCGTCCTTCGACAGTAACTTTCTTGTGTTTTCGTTCATGATTCCGTATTCTACCATGTTCGCTCTTTTTGAATTCATCTTCCAGAGGTCTTTGTAGACTTCGGTGAGACTTTCACCGTTATTGTCGTATACTATTTCACCTCCCACTCTTATCATGAGCCGCTCGCATAGAAGTTTACTGAGGTTGTTCATGAAACAGGATTTGTTGTTTTCGTTCTTGAACTCGTACGACAGGCGAAATGAGTCCGGAACGATACAGGTGTTCGGTTCTAGTTTTGGAACTACAATCCGGATGTCATTTCCAGGGTTGGATTCGTTTGGGGTGAATGTAACGAAGTTACATACCCTGTTCCCTACAACGTTGGAGGTCACTGCCCTTTTGAAACCGGGCGTAAGTTCTTGACTTCTCTTTTCCATTCCTTTTATTATACTGACTAATTATTAAATTTTTCGAACTTTGGTTTGGGCTCGTCCTGTACTTGTGGTTCTGCCATGCGATTGGGCTCGTCCATAGGTCTGACCCTACAGTATACGTAGTAGATTCCCCCTAGTGCAGCTGCTGCGACTCCAGCGCAAATTAGCGTATTTACCGAATCACCTTGATCGGAACTATTTTCAATGCTACGTCTTTTTTCAGCCTTCCTTGCTTTTGCTTCCCTAGATATTGCTGCTAGTCTTTTACCCGATTCTACCCTTCTAGGATCCTTTGGTTTTTGGGTCTTTTCTGCTTTTTTTATTGTTGGTTCATCCATCCTTTATTTAATATACTTACTTTTTTAGAATTTCTAGTCAAATCTAGTCAAATTCTAGTCAGAGCTAGTTGCAGCATAACCTTAACTAGATTTCAGCATAACCTTAACTAGATTTCAGCATAACCTTAACTAGGTTTAGCATCTAGTTAAAGTCTAGTCAGATTCTAGTCAGAGCTGGTTGCAACATAACCTTAAGTAGTTTCAAAATCAACTTAAGATAATTTCGAAACCCACTTAAAGAAATAATTTTCCATATAATAAAAGGTATGGACTTTCCTATGACAGTATTGGGAGAGATTCGTCACTTGCCGGAAAAGGAGCGTAGGCTGATGGAAGAGGAGCGTAGGTCGATAGAAGAGGAGCGTAAGTCAATGGAAGAGCGACGTAGGCTGAGGCTAAATCCTCCGGATTGGTTGGTCCTCTTCAGGCAAGCGGAAAAGGAGCACTCGGATCTCCTTGCTTCAAAGGAACCTGTAGAGTTTCCGAACAAACACTTTTGTTCCGAGGGACGCAAGCACCAACGTGCCCCCATAAATTGGGAATGAACGTGTCGTGAGTGTGGGCTGATTATCGGCAGGGTCCGCGATCCCTGTTACGACTACGATTGTTGGGACAGTGCGATTACGAGAAGTCGGAAAATGAGCATCAACGATAGGTTCGGATAATTTTGTACCAGAAGGAAAATAACACATTCTGATCTATCAGAGCATGAAAGGCGTTTGATAGAAGAAAACATTCAGAAAGTCTGTGAGGCAGAGGAACCTGAAGGGAAGAGGCTTCCTAATATCGATATCTTGACCTACCAGATATGTAGAAGACTTGACATAAAGATAGACGAGAAGTTGCTCAGCATTCCGGCAAGCAGACCTCCACACGATCGGTGTAAGGAAATATTCCGGACGTTGGGCTGGGAATATATCGAGCATGGTTGTCAGAGCAAGACAACCACAAAAAAATCCCAGTAAAACAACCGCAAAAGAGACGGTTGTGAAGGACCTGAACATGTCCGACATCGACTTCAGATACGAAGGTTTCTGTAAGAGGATGGGAATAACATACTCCATGTTATCGGTAAAGGATAGGAATAGAATCATGGAAGACATCAAAAAGGTATACGACGCGGAGAAACCGAAAATGAAATCGCTTCCTAACCTCAATATCCTAACATACCAAGCATGTAAAAAAGACTTAACATAACAATGGATGAGAGGCTGCTTAACAATCCGGTAAGCAGAGCCCCACACGATCGGTGTAAGAAGGTATTCCGGACGCTGGGTTGGGAATACATCGAATAATTTTAACGCTTTTTATCAAGCATTAAAATTGAAATAGTAATTTAAGGGCGATGATGACGAGAATAATTTCAGCCGTTATCGGGATGAGTAGGCAGAACACCAGACTCATCCACGTTATTCTCCGCAGTATTTGAGTTTTCGTCATTTATTTTAACGTACTTTTTTACCGTTGTGCTGACGTATCCAATTTGGGTGTGAGCGTTGATAGTAAGATCACCGCGTTCCATACCGACTCCAAAACTGAACATTTTCCTTTTCCGGTGGTTTTTGTCGTACTTCATTTCATATGCGGTTTCAGGTTTTGCGTGTAAACATCCCATTTTATTTAGTCTTCTTTTTATTTTCCGTTGACTTCGGTTTGTCTTCCTTTGCGGTCTTTGCTGACGGTCCTGCCTTGTCTTCCTTACACGACGTAACGTACTTGATGTTGGTTGTCTTGGATTTAACGTAACCGAGATTCAGCCCACCCCTATTGAGTTTTATATCGACGTTGACGGTTTTATCCTTTTTCAACTTTCCCTTAATCTTGCTGCTGTCGCTATTCATTCTTTTATTAATACCGAAAGAAAATCCATCTTGAAGCGATAACTCCACCAACAAACATAGTGCCGAGGAGGTAAACCAGATTGTTTGATGCTTTCGGCATGCTTGTTGTGTTAGGATGCGGTATGGGGTTCTGCTTCTCGCGTGGTATAGGGTTTTGGACTTTTACATCCGGACTCTCCTTTATTCCCTTAGGCTTTGAGTAGTTAACATCAGTATTACTACCAAACTTCATGTCCTTTGTTGCAAGTGTCAGTGTATTGTTGTACCCTGCCATCTTTTCCTTGAGTATAATCATATTGGATGGTATTAATATTAATCCGGGTGATATTGCCATGTTAAGTACAACGTTAGTATCCTTTATTGCTTTCCTCATAGGCCTACTCTGGGGCGGTAAATCGCCTTAAATCGCTGCGATATAATGCGATTTTGGGCGATTTTAGGCGATTTAAGGAAAAACTGGGACTTTCAAGCACTGCGATTTAATGCGATTTTAGGCGATTTAGGAAAAAATTTTAAATTTTAGGGATTGCAATTTAGTTGTTTTCATGTTATATATTGCTCCGGTTTCCTCACACAAGGCAAAATTGGCAGGGTGGGTTAGGATAAACACAGTTAGGATAGTAACATCATATTCTCATTGTTGTAAAGATAAATAGTCTAGCTAACATAAGTAATCATAGTACTTGATGTAATTGGTCACTGAAAAGCCCCAATGTGGGCAGTGAGCTAAATAATGTAATGTTTCCACACACATATGCATTGTATGAAGCAAAACACAATTATTAGAACATGTATGTACATTTTACATAAAGCTAGGTTAACTAATTATTGTATTTAACCTGATTCACATAAAAAGCTCAATATTCATGAACTTTTCATCCATTCTCTATTTAGAAGCCATTGGGGTTCATCTTGTGGGGTCATGTGGTCATTCATGGCTACATTATATACCACAAATATTGTAAACAGTTAATAGGCCTATACTCTACTTAAGGGCATGCACTACACATGTCTTAAACTTTAATATCATTAATTTATGTCGAGTTAAAATTGCAAAATATAATATTTGATTTCCAAAAAACCCACAAGAGAAACACACAATGTATTTATACAGTATAACCACGGTTAATAGAACTAGATGGTTAGGCTAGCCGGCAAACTTCAAAGAGAGCGGCAAATTATGTCGAGAACCACTTTTATTTGTGTCACGTGACGAGGAAAGGGGGTGCTTTGTGATGAGTGATTAGGAAAACATATGGGCGAGAACATAATATGCCAACAAAAGATCATATTTCAAAACGCTATAGGGCTTCTGAGATCAAGGCCGAAATGGCTATCTTTAAAACGGGGAACGGGGAATCGGGGAATCCGGGAATCGGGGAATCCGGGAATCGGGGAATCCGGCAATCCGGGAATCCGATAACAATTTTATAAAAATTTAAATAAAAATTTTATTCAATTTACAATTTATGCAATAAAAGAAAATGAAGCTTAATCGAAAGTTTGACGTCACACCAAAATTGCAGGACACGAAGTCGTGAAAAAAAACAGTTCAATACTTTTAAACGGGCATTTAATGTAAACTTCACGCAGGATATAAACTAAAGCGAATGTGTAATTGCCATGATTGCGCTAAATTAAAGAGTTTCGGTATGCATTGTCGCCATTTTTTGTTGGCAC